TAAGTACACATGTTTTATCATATATTTTTGTTTTCAAACCAGTATTAAGTGGCTTGCCTTCTCTCTGTTGATGAACTTAATGTCAGAACAAAGTTAAATTAAAATTAAAATTTAAAGTCTTTTGAAATAAGAATCAACTGCCCCATATTATCATAAACTGAATTTAGATCTGGCTGGAAAAACTCATCATTGAAGCATCATTTGAATGTTACTAAATGAAATATTTTCTTCCTGACTGCTAGACAAAGTCTGATCATAATTCATTCCAACTGTTTGAGGGGCTTGATCATGGAGACTTCATCAATAAGAATTACACCAACTTGTCCTATTCCTTTTTTATGGTTACTGTCATTGCCGTGAATTCTTTCTATCAATTCAAGTGTTGTACAACAACTATGTAACCCAGTCAATAGAAAGTGATGATGGTAATGCACAGTGAGTACAGAACTCAGGACTGTTGTAGTTATGACATTTCATTTCACATTGCAAAAATAAAAATTACATCTTCTTACCATGTTAAATCTTCAGCACAATTAAATAACAGAATTTACTCAACTCAAAAAAAAACAAGTTGTGAAAAAGCATCAACATATTTTTCTGAACTGTTTACTTAATTATGGTTTGGTCTCTGGATCTTATCAGGTAGTGATAGCTGCTGGAAGAATTGCTGATACCTTACTAAAGCCACATTTGTTTTATGCCATGTACACAGAACCCATTGTTGACAATTTCATGTCATACAAAGTATATAATCTCAACAAGATGTGCACTAACAGCATATGCCACTAAATACACTTTCTTGCCACTACTATGTATGTGTAATAGTGTTTGTTCTGAGTTACTTCTAAAAAAGAATAGGAAAAATATGAAATGGTACAGAATTTCAATTACATAATATTTTTCCTGAAATGCATTTGGAAATGGTTCAAGTTTTATTATGATTTCTATGATCTTGATATTTTCCAGCTGCTGTTAGTGCTGAATTGTGTTTCATTTGTTGTCCATTGTTAGATATTCCAGTTAGATTTTAAATGTTAATAACATTCTTTAGTATTGGTTTGGGGAAGGTTTGGAAGAGGAAGCATAATGAATTGAAAGATCAGAAACACAATTTTGTTTTGTTTTTCATAAATTGCTTTTTAAAATCTGCTTCAGAAGCTTTTATCACTGTCCACTCTTTGATGCCATTGTTAACTGGGTGCAGTTTAAGTCACAGGCTTTGAATATCTTTGGAGTGACAAATACAATGAACACCATGGGAACCACAGTTCTTGCAACAGTAATTTTGTCCAAGTATAAAAAGTGTGAAACAATTATCTCGCTTTGGGAAGTGATCATGTAGCAAAAAATAAAAGATTAAAATTAGGTAGGATTTTCATTAATGTTAAATTCACATGCACCAGATCCAATGGTACTCAAAACATGTGTTGGTGCAATATGTTGTTTAAATTTACTTTACATGAATACAGCATTAGCTAAGTTTTAAAACAGATAAATATTACAGATATAGGTATCCCATCATTACACGTTTACTATTACAACTTTTGATCCAAACAAATTAAGTCTCATTAGGATGCAGCATAGTTTATGCCATACTTGGCATGAGAGAAAGAAGTACAAACAGACTGAGACAGATTTTAGCCATTTGATGCATGTATGCTCAATGTATCTGCTTTAACTGTCTCTGTTTATGTTAGGCATTTGTCAAAGATACAACTCAAATAAAGATTAAACTTAAAAAATGTACCACTGCTCCTTCAATTTCAGAACTATGTATTTCAGATTTTAAGATTCACATTATTCATTTCCCCGATTTTGTTTAAATTCCATGAAGGAATTTATTATGTTGAAAAATTATTCACCTTAACACTCAGCATGCTGTGTTGTTTTTTGCAAATGAAATCATGTCAATAATCCTTCAAAAAATAGACAGATCAGAGAATTTTTAAAACTGTACAAACCCAGATCTGCCGTCAGATAATGCATGAGCAGATCTGGCTCTGTGTACATGTAGTTTGTTAGGAGTAATCAGTAAAACAAGAAACATAGATCCTGATATGCAAGAACATTAAGCTATAGTTGATTAGGATCTTTGTTTTCTGCAGTTTGACTTGACTTAAAGGTGAGTATAAATGGTACACTTTCAGTGGCATATTATCTCTCATTCCTACTTTTCTCAAGTTGTGGTTACTTTATATTCAGTGATTTGACAAAAAAGATGTCACTGCGTACAAAACTTGCAAAAGCGCAGGTGCTTGATGCGACCTTGATGTTAAGAAAAAGCAATAATCTGACATTGGACCCTCTCTATCATACTATATATATATGTATCTTATATAGTATGATAGAGAGGGTCCTGTGCCAAAACAGGTTATTGAGGTAATCTGAGGTATTTTAGTCACTCTGTATGATTTTTTTCCTTCAGATTATTGTTTTTTCTTAACATCAAGCTTGCATGGAGCACCTGCACACAAAAGTAGATCATAGCATTTCAACTTCCATATATATTACCATAAACAGTTTGTTAAATGAAACAAAGATAGAAAATATATACCATACTGCAAACATCCAAAAACCAATTAAACATGAATACATTGATAAGTAAACAATATTAACAGTCTTAAAAGTTTAAACCTAAGAAAAGAGTGCAAAACAAGTCAAGCTCTCTGTAGAGAAATGATTGGAGATTAAAGAATGCATGATACTGGGTGTGAACTGCTGTCAAGATAAATTATCACAAGTTTTAAGCTTTATACTAAAAAAATCAGTCAAATAATTTATTTAGCTTCCTGCCTGAATACATTTCCAAAAATTGGTAAATGTTTAAACAAACACAAGACTGTTAATGATTCAGGAACTACCAGTTCCAATTGAATAATATTCTAATAGAAGACTAGATTAGAAACATGTTATATTTAAAACAAATGAAAAAAACAGTTTAAAGTTTGTAAGTGGCACTGTAGATAATAGAGAAGCATTCCATGCACAAATCCTCTGTGTGTGTGTGTGTGTGTGTGTTTTGAATTTTTAATGTAGCTTTACAAAAATTTCAGTCATATTGTTACAGTGTTTACAGTGAGACAGTTTATAGTCATATCTAGTACTGGGGCATCATGCTGCAGATATGTAAAATCATGTCCCACCAAGTCACATTATCCTGACACCAGGCAGACCAGACAGAACACTAACCTCTTAATGTTGAGCTCCAAATGAGGCAGCTGTTAGTACCATTTGTATACATGCCACCTCCCACATCCAAGGTGGATGCTCTAAGTAAGAGTAAAGATTCTTGTTTCAGTTACTGCACATGACAATTAGAAATTTTGACAAATGATGCTGCCTTTATTAATGAAGACAATACTTTGCTGATGTTATGAATTGCTGTAACAGCACATCATTCAAATTTAACTATCTCTATGAAAAATGCTAATATGTAAATTTTAATATGATTGGAAAGACTGATAACTTACATCTCCATGAAGTCCAAAGTTACTGTAGAAATACTTGTTTAATGTACACTGTATTGAAAATGGCTAATACATGTTGTTAACAAAACTAGTTTTTGAGAAAAATTCTTAAAATAAAACATCACACTGAAAATTTATCTCTGTTATGAAAGCACAATTTGATAGCTTACTTCATACTTATGAATGAGAACATAAGATGTTTATATAAATAATGTTTTGTCTGAAAGAGGAACAATCACATATGCAGTCCCACAAAGCAGGATTCTAGGTCCATTACTATTTATATTATTTATTAATGACCTAACACTTTTACTAAGGAACTTAATTTTATCTACAGATCTCTATGAAGATGACATAACATTGTCAGATATCCAAAACACAACCATAAACTGGACATTATTTTATAGGATGTCCTAAACAAAATGGACAACCAGTGCACATGCAATGGCATGGTGGTAAATATGGCAAAACTAAAATATTACTAATCTCAACACAGCAACAAAGAACAAATCTTGATAGTGATGAACTATGTCTGACATGGAAGGATAAAAGTTTAAAAAAATGGTCTGTCATAACAGACAACTTGGAGTTTTTGTAGATAATAACCTATCATGGTCTGAACATAAAAACATACAAAGAATTAATTCAAGTTTATGGCTTCTCAGTAGGAAAAGATATTTTTTACTAGAAAGGCACAGAAAACTATCTTATAACAGTTGCATACAACCTGTTTAGATTACAGTAATACAGTATGTGGTGATTCAACTGATAAAAAACAAATGAAAACTAGCACATCTTCAAAAAAGAGCATTTTGGGCTAAGATCAATCCAATCAGAATGCAAATTAAATTTAGCTGGTAATGTAAAAATATTACAGATTAAAGACTGAATCTGGTTGAGAAAAGCCAGTTTAATGTACAAGATATCCAACAATAGCGATCCTGAATATTTACAATCACTTTTCCAGTATAGCCTACCTGGTAATACTGCCCACCTGTGATCCATGAATGCCAAACAGTATAGAATTCCCAAACCAAACAAGGAATTATTTCAAAAATGTTTCCTTTACTCTAGAACTTTGTTCCTGAATAGCATTCCAATACAGATTAGAAAAGCCCACTCTATTTCTTCTTCCAAACCCAATATATGCAGTGGCTTCAATGATGCAGTTAAAATGAAAATGAGAACAACTGTACAGTATTTGTATTCATAAATGCATCAGGGCACCATTAAATATTCTACACATTTATTTTGTCCCTAATTGCATATTGCATGTATAATGACTGTGTGGGTTTAATATGTATGGGTGAGTATCCAGCTGGTGAAAGTAAAGAAAGTAAATATATTGTCCCTGTATATGCATGCTACCATGTATGGGTATGTATGTGTGTACATCTGCATTTGTATACAGTTAAGTCCTTTTAATTCTTTAACTAACAGTGTTACCCTCTTTAAATAAAGCATTATTATTATTATTATTATTATTATTATTATTATTATTATTATTATTATTATAACACAATAAATTGGAAGGTTCCAGTGGCCTAGTGGTTAGAACATCTGCCTAGGATTTAGGAGGTTGTGGGTTCAAACCCCGGTCGAGTAATACCAAAGACTTATAAAAATGGTACTAACATTCAGCATTGAGGTTAGCATTAGGACTGGTTGGCCTGGTGTCAGGATAATGTGACTGGGAGGGACATCATCTACATTTCTGTGGAATGATGCCCCAGTGTTAGAAATCATTATAAACTGCCACACTGCAGACATCAGAGCAATATGACTGAAAAATTGTTAAGGCTGTATTAAAAATCCAAATCACACACATACACAAACACAATAAATTGGCAATGTATGGAGCAGATTTCAGCCAAAATTTGCTTTTTTCTGATGTATTTGTACATTGTATACATATAAATTCTAAAACTATTCTAAAACATGACAATTTTCTAATTTTAAACTTAAGTTGTACAAAAAGATGTAAATGTTTCAAATACAAAACAAACATCTGTTTCAAATTGTTTTTAGTACAACATCTGCAATAATTATGATATCAAGTATGATATTTGTAAAGGGCACATCTGACAAATAACAAGATTTATGGAATAAAAATTGTCATGGATAGCTTATCACTCTGCAATATATTTTTATTCCTGCTTCCAACTGCACAGTTATATAAAGGGCCAACTTAGTAGGCTACAGATGTATATAGCATGGAAGAGTCTATCTGGTAATTAGCTAAATGTAAATATTTAGTAAATGTAAATGTAAATGGGACTAAATGTTCCATATTGAATCTAGTATGACATATTCCTCAATTTATATTTTCTGATGTAAAATATCCATTTTATCATTAAATAAATATAATATCTAAAAATGTCTTCTTGTAGAAAATGATGGCATCTGTGCATTGTTTTGTAATGTAATAGTCATTGAGTCATTTTAGTGTGTCATTTTAGTGTGTAATGTCTTCATCTACAGTTGTAAATGTATTCATTCATTGTAGTCATTTACTTATTCAGTCATTCAGAGCATGTACATGCACAAAATCTATATTTAATTCAGCTATACAGAACTTACCAAACAGGTACTTATCCTCAATCAAATAGCACATGCAAGCTACCACTTTACTTTGCTTTCCAAAAGGATAATTAATAGAAAGCTTTTGTGACATATATTCCATATATGCTCTCATAGTCTTTTCTTCCTGTATTTCATGAAACATCTTAAATGAAACAGTTTGGTAAGGTGAATTCTTTCCCTCTCATCCCACCATGAAAATGACACAGTTCTATAGGTCATATAAATTTTTATATTTCTACTGATCATATAAATTTTTATATTTTTACTGATCATATAAATTTTATATTTCTACAGATCATATAAATTTTTATATTTCTACTGATCATATAAAATTTATATTTCTACAGGTCATGTAAATTTTTATATTTCTACAGGTCATATAAATTTTTATATTTCTACAGGTCATATAAATTTTTATATTTCTACAGGTCATGTAAATTGTTATATTTCTACAGATCATATAAATTTTTATATTTCTACAGGTCATTAAAGTAAAATATTCTATGACTTATCTTCTGTCTCCTTTAAACCCCAGTACATAAATAAATCATAAAATCTAAGTCTGACTTTCTTTAGTTGCAAGAGTGTAGAGTTAACAGATAATTTCATGACTTGATGAACACAACATTATGGAACTGCAAAACAAGCAAACAAACAAACAAAAATACATACATACATACATACATACATACATACATACATACATACATACATACATACATACATACATACATACATACATACATACATACATACATACATACATACATACATACATACATACATACATACATACATACATACATACATACATACATACATACATACATACATACATACATACATACATACATACATACATACCTACCTACCTACCTACCTACATACCTACCTACCTACCTACCTACCTACATACATACATACATACATACATACATACAAAGAGATGCACACACACATGCATGTGCATGCACACATGCAAAGCTAACCAATTTAACTATATAAAGGGAGTAGGTACTTCAAAAATCATGTCAAGGACCTGGAAATAATGAGATGCAATGAGACATGGAATATGTACATGCTTTTGTAGGTGCTATAGCCAATGCTGGGAAAGAGTACCATGGCCCTCCTCCACTTGTAATGATAACCAAATAAAAGTAAATACTGTACTGCAGGAAAAGGAAAGCCAAGTTGTAATATTTATACTAAATCAAGACCTGACATTATCCAGTACAGTCTCCACTTGCTGTTTCTGATTACAAGATGTCTCAGGTTTAGATAACAATCACACCCATACTAACACTTGATGAGGAAGGGGAAGAAAATAAAAAATGTGCATCCTATGTCAGGTCTACTGTTGTCAAGCCAGCAATGACACATGGAAGATAACTCTTCCTGGCTTAACTTTCTAACAAAGTTGGCTTGCTTCAAAAACAGAATTGGTCAATTGGGTTGACTTAACTGTATTGATCCTAAAAGAAATATGAATTACAGTGCATTAGTCCTATAACTGATATCATATGATAGTCATGCTGTAATACATGTGATATTCATGCTGTAATACATGTGATAAATGGGAAATGAAGAATAAAGGATAGGATCCTCAGAGTCATATTGTTTTGACTTCTGAAACATTTAAGGCTCTACCCCAAGAAATTTTGGCCAACTTGCTCTACTCACCTTGAAGTTTGTCTCATTGTATCATTGTATAAGTCTTTAAACAAAAATCAATTATACTGGAAAATTAGCTGCTTCTATGAATGACACTTATTAAAATTTAATAGATGAGGATGGGATTGTCCAAACTTGTGGCTCACCAATGGAGAACAAATTTCAGTCTTTGCACTACTGCAACATTTCATTATATAACAGACAAAATAATACTACAGCAATGCAGTCGAAGTAAAACCTATCCCCAAACATGTGGCAAAATATGAACCCAAAATTTAATCCTGAGGTTTGGGGAGAATTAATATAAAAAAGCAGTCTGATGAAAAGAATTGTCCATGACATTCAGTAATTTGTTGCAGCTGCTGCTATTATGCCCCCCCCCAGTCAAACCTGTTTTCTCTTTTCAAGATACAAATATCACTTTTACTCCCAAAGTTAAGTACTGCATTATAAATGCAATATCCTTTTTGAGGCAGGTGCAACATGAAAAAAGAAAAAGATTAATTGAAAGACTGTGCAATCTGCATACTTCCATCTCTTTATTTTTGACAGCAAGAATGAATGAAACTCAAGACTGGACATATTCATTGCCAAGAGGACATAACATTTTGCTAATGGAGGAAAAAGCTAGATTAAAGTCTAACCCTAAAGGCCCTACAACAGCAGATGTTCATTGGATTTTACCTACATAATAACTCCCCAAATCTATAGACATATGAATTCACCCCCACAGTAACGGAAACATAAAGATGGCTTAAAATGGAGACAATGATCAGAATGGAGAGATTCATACTTGGCAAAAATAAGAAGGTAAATTAAAGTTTTTGATTTTACAAAAAAAACTGATGATTACAAGAGTCAATCCTACAGAATTCCAAATCAAATACACAACACCAAAATTTTCTAATGAACAAAATGATTCTGGTTGTTGTTGTTGTTGTTGTTGTTGTTGTGGGGCTTTACGCCATTTTTCAGCATTTGATAGGCTATACATGGCGGCCAGTATTAATGGTGGAGGAAGAAACCGGGAAATCACCCAAAATAACCACCGACCCTTGAGAAGCTACTGACAAGCTTTCTCATATATCCACATTTGCCAAATCCTGTACTAGAACCCATGAAGACAGAGGTGAGATGGCAGTGATTTGTAATGGACAGTGCTTTAGACCACTTGGGGCACCTAATGATTCTGGTAAAAAGTAAAATGATTGAAATGAAAAGAAAAAAATGAAACAAGCACCTTCTGCACGTTAGAGGTACACAGCAATGAAAACTAGCAGTAAATTCAGACCAATCATATATCTAACGGATTTTAATGACTTTAAAAACAAGAAAGTTTTTATTTGTTTAATACCAAAAATGCAGGACAATTGTTTTTGTGTTACATCCCTTGATCGAAAAGATACATATTTTACTGTTAGTAAACGATGAGTGTCAAAAATACTTAAAATTTCAACATGAACATTTGAACACCTAATGCATTATGAGAAGTCTAATTTTATCATCTCTCACAAAACTATCTGACTGAATTCTCCATGTCTTGTGATCATTATGGTTGTATGGAATAAGCATACATTCAAACAGATGTGCAACATCTATAACCAATCTATACATACCTGGGAGTGTGCTTTAAAAGAATTATCTATATTTTAGTTAAACATTTACTAAAAGAACCATCTATTCTCACTTATGAGTCATACTGCAAATTGCAGACCTAGACCTGCCAGCATAATGAGCTGGTAGATTTGGGTCTGTGCAATTTGTTAGGATTAATAAGTAGAACAGGTAACAAAGAAACTGAGAAGCAGGCAGATTATATTGTTATGGTTGTTTACTTTGACTTGAAAGAACTGATCAGGTGGCCAGGTGGTTAGAGAGTCTGCCTCAGATGCGGGAGGTCGTGGGTTCGATCCCTGCTTAAGTCATACCAAAGACTTACAAAAATGGTACTAACAGCTGCCTCACTTGATGCTCAGCATTAAGAGGTTAGTGTTAGGACTGGTCGGCCTGGTGTCAGGATAATGTGTTTGGGTGAGACATAATGCTACATGTCTGTGACATGATGCCCCAGTGCTAGACATCACTAAAAACTGCCACACTGCAGATCGTATATGACTGAAAAAATTGTTAAAGCTACGTTAAAAATCATAATCACATCACATTACATCACATCACTTTAACTTGACTTACTGGTGAGTACATGTATACATTTTAGATGCTGATATTACATGTTCTTTAAGAATTTTTTAGACTCTGACATGTGGATGTTATGGAGCAAACTTTCGAGCAGGTTTTGCAATCAGCTTTTTTCAAACATTCATTGATCCACTTTTAAATTAAATTTTTGAACTGATACATTTGTTTTATGGAATCCTGAATCAAAATCATTTAAGTCTAATGCTTTTTCTGATTTCTGACATGATATTCAACCATACATGTTTCCTCCTTTTCTCTTAATTGGAAGAATTATGAATAATGTCTTGAGTGATAAAGTCAATAAAGCTTTTATGGTAATACCATATTGACCATCACAGCCTGTTTCTTTTACTTACGTTTTCTATTGTTAATAATCCTGCATAACCCCCTGCTTATACTCCTATAGTCAAGAAATTTGTCCTCTAAAGCAGTGGTACACAACTCAAACTTTTACAGGACCGTAATCAACCATTTAAGCATGCCACGTTATAAAAATATTTTGTCTATAATGAAAACATAAAAACATAAATACAAATGCATTAAGAGGGACATGGGCCACCGACTGCAAAAAGTGTGTTGGCAAGCTTTATACAGCCTGTACCCTGTATGTTGTACACCCCTGCTCTAAAAGAAAAGTTGCAACTGATGTATTGTAGTAGTAATGACCCACACCTTAGACACTGTAATGGTATAAAATCTTGTAAATATTTTCACCGTACATTATGTTGTGGTCAGCATGACACATAACCATTAAGATTGACATATGGGCTAAGCTCATAAATTAATAATTTATGATGTTTATCCCCTCTTGTTTAGGGGGCATGAGTGGATTCTAATTAGAGTCCATTTAGATAACAGTAAGATAGATAGATGAGAGCAATGTTAATGTAAGGTCACATAGTGGAAAAAAGTTGAGACAAGCCAGAAACAATTTGTGCTATTTGGAAATAAATATAAAATTAAATTTTTCAGAATTAGTAATATAGCAAAATAGGGATGATTATTATGTCTTTGATGGGAGTGTGATTCGTTTTAATGTAGTCTTGATTATTATAGGAAATTATGATCTAGAATTTCATGCCTTATTTTAGTTGAGTTATGAGAATTTTTTTTGAATTCTCCAACCCTATACGAGGTCGCATATAATAATGATTAAATTGTGTGTATTCATTATAAATACCGTAGTGTAAGGAATTTCATTCATTCATTTGTGTAACTGAGACAAGACTGGTACTAATTTCTCTATGATGTGTTGAAATAGCCATTAGTAGGACCATTAATCTTTAGAAACTAGATTTGTTTATGGTATGTCATGGTTAGTTAGACTAGACTGCCATTGGTATCTGTTTGAATTCTGATAGAACTACATCTTGCATAACAAGGGAGGGAGTTATTGACTATTCCCCCAGTATAATATGATGGAAGATTTCTTTTATTTCTTTGTTTATTTTAGGAAGTCGAGGCACATGATGTACCACGTATTTACAAAACCAAAGTGACCACAAAAAGTTGGATGGGCTGAAAGAGGCGAGATGCCTCAGAATTTGAAAAAAGGAAAAAGTGGAGAGGACCCAGACTTAGGCACAAGGAAGTCAAAGGGACAGTCACTGTGAATTTGGATTGAAAAAGACCATCAGGTTATGCATCTGTACAAGGCAGTTTTTTTTTATCTTTCACTCGATTTGATGATGAATTAATTTTATTGCTTAACTGATCCGCTATTGGTATAAGCTCTGTAAAGAATAACCCAAGAGGCTGTGGTATTCTATTCTATATACCTGCTCAGATCTTTATCTATTCCATCTACAAGTTTCATACTTTATATTGATATAGTTATAATGAGATGATATTGGACAGAATGATGTTCTATGCCAGTAAAGAAAAAGCTGAAAAATGTTAGTTTTATTTACTTCATGGGAAAAATATCTCCATACCAGTGCTACACGGTGGGAAGGGGTGCAAGCTACAACCAAGATATAGTTGATGATATGAATAGATAGGAGAGAGAAGAGGAAAAAAAAAATGGCAATGCTGACCTGACCCATCACCAACAGTGATTTGGAAAGGACTGAAAGTAACATGATTCTATGATGAAATCTCTTTTAAACATATTTACAAATCAAATCTAAAATTAATCCAAGAATAAAAAAATAGAAGACCTATTATATAGAAGTCCTAAATGAATCAGTTTGAATCCCGATAAAATTTAAAATGGAGAATGATGATGTCTGTCACAACCTTCAAAGTATAGCCATGTCAACAGTTCTTTGTTAAATCACAAAAAAATATTCCAGTTTTAAATTGTGAATAAATTTCAATGAATGCCTTTTTATTCAAGAATTATGTAAAGAACACTTATATTTCCAGGGAAAAGAATCACTTGTATTCCATAAAATAGAATTTCAACTTAAACTGGTCACAACAAAACACCTTTAATTGTCAAAGGTTTAGAGCCCAAACTGAACAAATTCTATCAAGAAAACAGTTATACACTAATTTAAGATGCAAAATAGATTCCCAGATGAAAGTCACATGGTCACCCTTCCAGAACAACATAGAAGTTTTTTACATACCTAACATCACATACTCCCAGTATGGCCTTAGCCAAAATCAATAGTTCTTGCTCAGAGAATGACTAAAAATTTTTTTTTAAAAGTTGTTTACCAGAACACTTACTGGTTCTGAATCAAGATCAGCAACTTGATATAGTGTTTCTACTACTAGATGTTTATCAGTAAAATAAAAAAAATCAGGTCAAACCGAACTGAACAGAATTTCTATTTAAAAAAATGACAAATCCATTAGATAAAGTTATATTACAATAACATTGAATGGAATTTTTAAAAAATTAAAACTAGCAAAAATATAAATTACATATATATAACAATGTGCATGTGTACTTTTAAGAAATGTACATGACCTGATAAAAGTTTACTAGACTGGTAAATAATAGAAAGAGAACACTGCTGCAAAGTTGTTCTTTAGCTAGTCCTTGCTGGCACAAAAGTGATGGTGTGGGCCTTGTTTTCGATTCACAAGACAGCTGACTAAGGATCATTTAGGTATAGAGTATCTACCACAGATGATTGCCTAATAAACATAATGTTCTTTGATATGCAGAACCACTGGCACTACATTACCAACAATTACCACTGAAAGTTGTTGCTTTTGCCAGATCTTAAGATTTCTAATTATTATCTTACTGCTGATACAGGACATGCCAATGTGTGTGTGTTGGGCTTTGTTTTACTTCATGCATGGCACTAGGCTCTTTCAACACTATTGGCCAGTCATATAACTTGGATCTGGCAGCTACCTGGGGGTGTTTTGAGTAAGTTTGTTTTATGGGGTTCATTTGGTGTGTTAATGTGATTTATTAAAATTTTACTACATATACTGGAACTTGTGCACAAGGATCATCTTGTTTCTGTCAATGGTATACAATTCTGAAGTGATGCAAGCTACACTACATGCAGGTGTGGTTCACTCACACTACCTTACAAGTTATAGACTATGCTATACATATGTGGTTAAGCTTAGAAGTGTTTTTGCTTCTTTGAAAACGCATCACCATGCATTTGTTTTGCTTCTTATTGCAGCACTTCCAACCCAGTAATAGCTATAGCATATCATGGAATTGAAAGCCAAGTGCCTTTCTTAAGCACATGTCACTGGACCAACCCAGGCCAGATTAGACAGTTATCATATCCCATGACCAGTCATCTCAGTCAGATGCATTATGCATTTGTTTGCATGAATTTTCTTTACAACTTAATGAGATTCTTGCTATCACATATTTCAGAATAGTCCCTTGATAATATCATTTGCAGATTTTATACTTTGATACCATCATAACAGAACAAATGTACAAAAGAATTAATTGCTCTATAATGTTGATATCTGCATTAAATTGGGGGATAGGAATGATGATAATAATGTAGAAACTATAATTTCAGAAAGTTTGTTTCTGACTGTCTGTAGCAAAAGGAGTTATTACAAAAAACAACAAATATCATCCAGGAATTCATATAAAAGCATTAATGAATAATTTAGTCATGGAGTATTTTTACTCCTGATGATTATGTCCAAAAAATATGAGTAGACTTTAACCTCTTTGCAATGGTTTAGTAACTTGTGTACTGGTAAACCAACCAAAGTCTAAATTGTTAACTTCTTTGGTGGCTTTTTAACATGGCTTTACTTGAGTTGTAAAAGTTTGGGTATATTCAGGCTAGATATACACATGTACATGTATCTAAATGAGAGGGCTCACACCAATGTTGGTATGTATATTATATAGCAGAGAGAAAATTGGTGTAAATTTTATTCTTGCATTTTAGTTTCAATTTCATAACCTGCAAGTTGGAGCCAGATGGGAAATTACTAAACAAGCCCAAAGCACATTTATCACATAACTTCTTTTGTACCAAGTTACAGGGTTTAACATTACCTTTGAGTCAAAAACCTTGTATGCAGTTATGTGACATCAGCAAGAAGAACATAAAATATTTAAAAAATGGCAAACTTTAATTAACTGAATTGAATGATATGATGCCATTAGTAAGTGATGGCTTCTTAACATAAAAAAGAAAGAAAAATACATCCTTGTCTTGCATGTAAATGTGGACACAAAAGTACCAACAACCCAAATTAAGGGTAATAATCCCACAAAAATGGAAAATGAGAATGTGAAAATCTTCCAGTTTAATATTTAAATTTGATGATCATT